ACTCCACTAGTAAAGTAATCAGTTGTCTTGTCTTCATAATCATTTTCCCCTTCAATTTTTGGGACTCTGACCCCATCCTTTTTTGCTGTTATCAACTCCAATTTTTCCATCTTCTTTTCAATTCTCTGTTATTTCTAATAAATTTTGAATTCCAGCCAAGGTGTTTTGCAAAGTAATTGTTTCTTTTGAATATTGTGTCATTTTAGCAAGCTGGTGGATACTGCCACTCTGGCTTTCAAGGCTTCTTATATTAAATTAGTTTAAAAGTTCATTTATGATCTTCAAAAAAGAAGCTTCTGTTTCTTTTCCTCTCCCACTGCCAGTCAGACTCTCAAAGTGCACCTGTATAAACAATTCGTGCCCTTGCTTCTTATCACTTTCTATAAACAAATTGCAGAGCCTTGAGATACAAAGTCAGTGAGATCAAAAGGAAAAGGGAAAGTGCATTGTTTCAAAAACTCAAGCCACCAGCCTCCAAATGGCAGTATTGCTTCCCACTCTCTAATGTTATTTCAAACTTAAAAGAAACAGAGTTCTTAAATGGAATTAATAGCAAGAAATAAAAATCCTTGTTGAAATAAAGAAGAAGACTTCAGTCCATAGATTAAAAAAATAAAAATAAAAAAATAGAAGAAAAACTGATCCATTCTCTTTAAAAAGAAAAAAAGAAGTTGCGAGCACTTCAATCCACGAAGTAGAATTACAAAGAAAATGAAACACACTATCCAAAGCAATCCAGTATAGGTTAATTTTGCCACTTGTTTTCTTCTGCTTTTAGGAAAGGTCCATTGAAATAAGAACATAGAGCTTTGTGCTTGAATTGATTAGAACTGAATAAGATCTTAAAGGAGCTTAGTGTCAGTCATGCTGTTTTAAATACTGCAGATCTATAGCTGAAATCCTGTTATAGGAATGGAACACTGGCCTGGGCTACCACTTAATTCTAATATAATAGTGTACTCGATCTCCAACTTTGATCTGGTACTTTTATGATTACTGTATGGAATAGTTACTGCAGATCTTGCAGTAGTCAAATTGGAAGAATTCCTAAAGATTTCTTTTAGCCAAGTAAACATTTCCGTAGTAGTCTTGGCAGCGAGGAGATGAAGGAAACGAGGCAGTTATACAAATGGCCTGTCACTTCCAATTGCTTTTAAAGAATGAAATCAATGTAACCATTTTTTTTTCCACTAGGAGCTACTGGACATCAATCATATTTGTTGTGCTACCCTGCTTCAAGACTGGAAGTTGTTTCTTTTGCCAAAAATGTTCTTTGTAAAGTTGAGTCTTGGAATATGGAGTGTATTTCTTGACTTAAAAGTTTAGCAACTCCCATCCTTGTAAAATATAGCACGCTTTCCCCTTCTAACTTCTCAGGGTTTCATAGACATACCTATGTAGTTTTCTTGTTATTTAAAAAATAACAACTTCCAGTTTAGTCTACAGCTCCTGCATTTCCAGACAATCAAGTACTGAGCAGGTCCATTGTTGTTTAGCTTTTAAAAATCAGCTAAGGAGTATTTCGCTTTATCTCTTCTATTTTAAGTTGCATATCATAAAATAGATTTATATACGGTAGGTAGGAAGCCAGAATATACCGTAGCAATCATGGCTACTACTTGCCAAGGATCTAGTGGAAAATTTCATGTGTCCATTTGGATATTTACATGAATCTTCAGCTTTCAAGAAAACCCAGAATATCTCCAGCTGACCTCCAATGCCCACTGATGTTGTCCACCTGGGAAATATTAAGATTGTTCTGCACTCCTGATCATGAACAAAAAAAAATGCGTTTTTAAAACATCTAGATTAAAACCTACTTGTGCCTAGGTAACATATACGCACAATAACTGTCAAAGAATAAAATACTTGGATCTAAACAAATGCCTAGGTGTCAATACTAATAGGAAGAAAATGCCAATGTCTCTTTATTGAAACATTTCATTAAATATTTAAGTGTGTCCTGAAGCTTCATTATATCGAATGTTTAGCATTATTGAGAGTTGAAATAATTTTGGTTTAATCTGCAGATCAGAATATAGTGGGCCAATTTTGAAAATTAAGGAAGTTTATTAGAAAAGAATGATCAAGGAAAGTTATATCAATTATATACATACATTACATAACATCTTACATGTAGGGTCTTCCTAAGTCAATGACATTTGTGACATATAGGAATGGGACCTTTTCCGATGTTATCTTAGCTATTAGTCAAACGGAACTACAGTCTACAGATAGATGATCTGTACTGGGGACTGATGCTATTGGTCTCACAGAAAAAACTGCTTTAAATACCCTCCCTTTTGCAACAGAAACAAAAGGTATACTGACCCTATTTTCACGTTATATTGCAATAATTATTTGGAGAAAAGTTGCTCAATTTAACAAAGTAGATCGCTCACCAGCTATATATATAAAAATGGCTGTTTGTGTATGTGTGTGTGTTCCAGCATAACTCGAACGCCTTGAGCAATTTCAATCAAATTTGGTACACAGATGACTCACTCTCTGGAAAAAAATACTGTCAAGGTAAGACACTCCTAAAACCCCGGGGGGAGGGGGGGATTCTGTTAAGATATAGCCTGTTGTGCCTTAAAATGACTCCTACTGTACTGCCGTAAAATGGCTTCTGTACAGTGCAGTGGAGTTGGCATTGTAACAGCTTCACAGTACTCCACAAGTGGGCTCCCTCTGGTAAGGGGGAAAATCCAACATTAGAAATTACATTTGGTCCAGACATTTCCCCCTATAAATAAATACCCGGGCAATGCCGGGTTATCAGCTAGTTAGTAATATATATTACATGAGATGCTGCATTAAATTATAGATTGCAAAATGAATTATACTGTTCTAATGATGGATTTTTGTTTTCTCAGACTTTGTTAGTGGACCAATAAAATAGACACCATAAAAAGTCCAAGACTGACATATTTCCCTTCCGCCCTCCTCCCTCGCCCCACCCACCCACACTTAAAAAGTCATGCTTTTCTATACTTCTAACAATAAACTTTCCAAACATTTTCAGGTTGTGCCTCTTTGAGTAGGTGGAAACCTTAGTTTTGTTGGTTTTGTTCATCAAAAGAAAGGACAATTATAATTTAAATTAAAATAGGTTTTTCCCTGATCATCAAATTCATATCCAGGTGAGACCATTATAAGACATTTATAAGACATTATAAGACATTTATAAGACAAGTGAGACATTTATATTTTGAATATATTATTACTAAAATTGCTCTCTTCTACTCGGAATGAAGAAAGGTAAGAAAGTACCTTTTAAAGTTTTACAATAAAATTACATATAAAGTGAAATATTAGGACTTGTAATAATTAATTCTTTTCCCTAGAATTGAAGTGGCATTTAAGCCCTTAGTTAAATACTGCAAAGCAATGCGCTTTTTTCCTGTAATAAAATCTAGAAAATATACTTTGGTCTGCAACTTTATTGGACTAAAATGTATTCTGAATTAAAACCCTTGTGCTGAAGTCTGAAGTATTTTCTATGCAGGTTCCAGTCTTCTCTTTTTCATGCCTTGGCCTTTTCGGTAGGGACTCTGTTCAGCTGAAATAGAGAACAGTCATTCAGAAAAGGATTTCCTTTAAAAATATATATGTTTTTTGCCTAGTTTCACCTAGTTTTTCTATGTCTGTCTGTCTGTCTATCATCTATCTATCTATCTATCTATCTATCTATCTATCTATCTATCTATCATCTATCATCTATTTATCTATCTATCATCAATGGCTGTGTGTGTGTGTGTTCCAGCGTAACACTGGAATGCCTTCAGCCATTTCAACCAAACTTGGTACACAGATGACTTACTCTCTGGAAAGAAATACTGTGGGGGTAAGACACCC